CCAAAATATTTTCCCCAGACTTTTAGCCTGCACGCAGTAAATAAAACACATTATAAACAAAGAAAAATCCATCAGGAGGGTGTTATTACTTTTCTCCAGAAGTTAGGGCATATTACATAATGAACTGCATCTTAGGGGACTGATTTAGGGGATCTGCAGTGTATTTTGCCATGTCAGTTTTCTTAACTAAAGACATAAATTTCTATAACTAAACATACTAGTCAAAGCCAGAGTAATCAGGGTGAGATTACCCTGCAACATATGTGATTATGCTGTGGTTGGTGATCTGGATTAAGGTACAGACTTCAGTCTAAATGGGTATCCTTCTTGGAAGGAATCAGACAAGACCTTTGTGTAATCTATCCACAGAATTAATTACCACTTGATGTGTTGATGGCCACCATGGGCTGCTATTCTACAAATACATTTTATATATACATAACAGAACTTGCTTCTGAATCAGCTTTCCTAGGATTGCACTGTTAAGTGGCTTTGAAATGGCATTAGACAACTGTATGGTGGATAGATCTACAGTGACTTGTAGAAGCTCTATGTTTCAAAGATGGATTGTGTTAAATACCAGATGTTGGGGGCAAGAAAGCAGCAAGGGCTTCTTGTCTATATGCCTTCTGTGGCATCCGACTGGTCACTGTTAGACACAGAATATCGCACTAGGATGTCCTCATCTCTCCTATTGCTTCCTTCCTCTTTTGCCAGCTTCTAATAATGTTTTTAGTGCTTTTTCACTAGGTGTCACTTTAGTACTACATGGATGGCTGACTGCATTATAGCTGCATTACTGGAGGAAAACAAGAACCTAAAGCATTCATTCCTAGAGACATCCCGCAAAACATCCAGTCGTTCATTCTTTCTCTGTGGTAGAGCAAAAGAAACTATTCCAGTTCCACAAGAAGAGACTGTTCTTACTTAGCCCAACCGAGCGACCATAGAGGAAAGTCAGAACAGATCTTTGTCAGTGGTACTGTTTCAATCATGCTTCACTTCTGCAAGCAATTAGAGTAACTAGGGATGGGTGGAACCAGGGATGCGCAAGCCTGCCAACATTCTCTGAACTTCACTTCAGAGTATAGTATGGCTCAGTACCATTCTCATTTGTGACCTGTTTGTTCAGTTTATTCAAACAATAGTGTACATTTTTAAAGTGTGCACTTCAATCCCAACATGGAGGGAAATGTGAACATGAGTATTTTTTGAAGTGTGCTTTTTTTAATGGAAGTCCAAGTTCAGGAATTTGCACATATTTTCAGAGAGAATACACTCTTATTCACATTTGCTGTGGCAAATAGTTTTTTTTAGTGATTTGTATAAAGAAATGAATTTTTGTGCATCTCTTATAGCAATGTTGCTACATCTTGTGGTATCCATTGAAAAATGCAGAAGTTTGCACTGAAACAGATTCTTATATAACCATAACCAAGTCTTTTTGTTTATATTCCCGTTACTTTCGGTTCCTTGTGTTTTTCTAAGGAATGCACAGCAAATTATGTAGAGTCAGGCCTGCTTTCTGTCTATGCCAGGGAGGCACATATTGTGTTCCTCCAATTATTGTTTAACTGCAATTCCCATCATCTCCCACTATTGCTAATGCTGCTGAGATCATTGCAGTCCATTAACCTTGAAGGACACAACTTACCCACCCCGTTTCTAAACATTTGTGCATCACATGCCTTCAGGGCCATTTATCTCAAGTAAAGTGACTTGAGTACCTATGTTTTACATGAAAAGTTATTCCTAACTGCTGTAAAATTATTATTTTTAAGATTGCTGGCATGTATTTGTTTCTCTGCTACACGCTCCATGTAATTGCCACAGGCTGTGTTACATTTTCTTCTGTCCCACTGGAGCCATGAATACCAACATACTTCCAATTTCAAGGGATTTTTTTTAAATACAAAAGGAGCTACCTTGCATTGAAAAAGAACACTTAGTCCTGTTCACTGAAACCTTACAGCATCTTCCCACAGCAAAAGCACATGTTTTACCATGGTGATTTGTTCTGCTTTTCTGGAAATGAATGGTTTAGATCCAGACATGTTCACATTGTGATCCTGAAGGAAGTCCTACTGACTTGCATTGGACTTAAATCCAGATAAGTATATACAACCTTGCAGCATTTATGTCCCATTGAAATCAATGGGATATCAAAGTTTAAGTCCCTTAGATTTTAATACGTAATGCCTACTGTCTATTAAACCTCACACTACATCTGAGATCTGAGCACTTATTGGGTGAGCCACTGATTCCTTCCTAGAATTTGTTTTCCCATTCCACAACAGCAAGTTCTCACTAGAAAACCATTGTAATGTTTGGCCACAGATACATTAATGGTGTATGTCAGTAAAATGCTTATGGTAAGCAGAAAGCCTAATAATATAAGCTGAAGTAAACCTTCAACAGTGTCTTCTAAAAGATCCAAAGTTTTCAAACGAAGAATTTCTGTGCTAGATGCTCAAAACATTTATTTTATTGAACTTTAGCTCCTGTATTAAGCAAGTTCACATGCATTTTTACATAAATCACTAAATACTTTACTTTCCATTTTAAAGTAAATATTTTGCAATACTATTGAGCATTTAGTCCCTCACATGAATGCCCCCAAAATGGATCCCATCTCACTCTGTACAAGCCAAGAGCCTTTTGTGAAAGTTTTTTGTTTCACCAAAACACATTTTCCCGGTAAGGTAAAAAGAGCAATAAATGAATCTGAAGCAAACAAGTTTGAGAAGAATTCCTGAAGGATCTGTAAACAGAATGCACAGCACGAAAGCACACAGAGAGATTGCCAAATAGAAACACTCCAGAGCTTTCCATGGTGTGATGCCATCAGAGAGAAAGAGAGAGAGAGAGATGTTCTTTGCAAAAGTTGCAAAGGTCACACAGTGTTTGTTATATTTATGTGGCAGATTCTGTCATGTCAGTTCAGATTTGTATTTACACCAAGCCAAGTACCAGTTTAGTAAGAACTCTGAACACAGGCCATCCGCCTGTGCCATTTTGCCTTAACCAAGGGCTGCTACAATCATGGAGTGACCCCTTCCTGTCTGATTAGGGATGGAGACTAGGATTGCATACCTCCTTCTCCAGGAGATCACCTAGTATCTGCCAGCATCCAGGGCCCTGGCAAGGCCCTCGTGTTCTGGGATCCCCATTTGAAGGAAGGAAAAGGGCCTGAATCTATGTCAGTGTCATTTGGAGAAATTCAAATGATGGATAGATTTAGTTCCATAGTTCATTTGGAATACCTTCTGCTGCCACCAAGTGTGACCCACAGAAGCTATCGGTGGAAGAGGGAAGCACCACTTTGTCTAGGACCTTTCAAACTAGGACTAGTCTGGTTTTCCCCTTAATCCACTCATTGCTTGTATTTCCTACACTTCTACCGCTGGTTTAACCATGATTAGGGAACACATAACCCTTCACCTTAATTCATAAGCAGCATCAGCCTAGTTCCCTTTCAACAAGGGTCTGCTAACCAAATCCAGTTTGTAACTTATGGTTAAGGCATAAGCCATGCTACCTCTGTATTAACTCCTTGATCTAATGATTATCAGTTTATCAGGTCAAGGTCAATCACTTGCCCTTCCCCTGAATTACTGTTGGCATCTGCCAAGCTTTCAGTTTGGTCTAAACCAAGTACAATACAATTCTTCCAATTTATTGAAACATACCTTATTCAAATGTTGGTGAATGGCAAGGGTCCAGTGCCTGAGCAGAAACCAGTTTTTATCAGCTCCATGATAGAGGCTTCTCACATTTAATCTATCACATGATTGGAGGGTCAAGAAACACTCAATGAGCTTCCTTCCTGGGTGAGTGAACCCCTCACTAACATTGTTTACAGCTGCTATTGCACCTTATTCTCTTTCTTATTATTGCAATTGTTCGTTTGCTTGATAGGTATAGAGCCAGTGAGCAAGCAGGCAGTGGAAGTTCTTCTACTTGCTCCTTGTACACTTGCCTGTATCTCATCATCACCACTGACTGAACTGGAGTGTGAGGCAGATGAACCAGCAAACTGCCATGGTGAAAGAAAGGAAAAGGTTGAGAAGGCATCTGTCAGTGGGTGCCTGCTGGGGTGTGATCTCTCAGCAGGTGGTCGGCCATGATTCTGCTGACCCTGTTTGATAGCTACATTAATTGTTTGAAAAATTCAACATCCGGTGCTATAAAATCAATCATGAATATTTTTTACCCAGGAATTACTGTTGTGTCCAAACACATACCTTAATCAGATTGAATATTAAAATAAAGACAATGATTAAAAAGTGAACCATTCTCACTTATCTACATTATCCGTCTGTAAGCCATTACATTCTATTTCTACCTATAAAGCAGATAATGGTTATAACAGACCCTTGTCAGAACTGCAACAAAAGAAGTCAAAATATACAAACTGAAAACAGCAACTGGAATGGTTTAAAAGGCCAGAGTGCCACAGATTAACAGGCAAATCCCCAAGCACTAGCTGACACTCTTTGTCTTTCATAAGTCAGTCAAATATTCCTTTCAACTCTGTGATTCCGAGGACCAGTGAAGGAATGCATAGCACATACTGAATCAACAGACATTGCAAAACAAGCTGGCAGGAATTAGGTCTCACTTACTCCAACCTAACTGAGTAGACATTAGCCTAGGTTAGAGTCTCAGGTGTGCATAAGGTGTTCAGCCCACATATACCATTTAGAAGCAATTCAGATAAACATATTTCCTGTTTAGCACCCATCCAGCAAAGAGAAACCAGTGTGCAGAAACCTCTAACTACACACAAAATGTCGTGCTCCCTGATGCCAAATCCCCCTCATCCAGTATCCTGGAAAGCATGTGCTGTTCCATCTCCAATCCAGCAATTCATTGTAGCAGTCAGAAAAGGGATATTATTATATGTGTTTAACATATACCACACTTTGGAAGATGAGCAGAAAATGATCAGCATCAAAATGTAGCCCGTTCACAGCAAGGAAATCACTCTTCACAATTACCTTTCCACAACATCCTCGCCATTCCAGCAGGTTGAGCTGTCTTTCATCACAAGATCCCCATCACAGAGTCTTTCTGTTAAAGAAGCATAAAGAGTTCTGGATCGTTTCATGTAGTTGATGAATTCCCTAGAAATTAGAAACACAACATTACAATACATTAACAGTAGCACTTTGTTATTCTGCTACATCCTAATCTTAATAATTTTCTAACCATGTGTATAATATGTGTACTCTTGGTCAGCTGTATTCACAAATAGTACTATTATACTGAGGATGAAACCACATATCACATGTAAATGCATGTATTAAAATCTCAGTGACTGATTCTTGTAGTGAAAAGAAGCTATTGGAAGGAGGTTATTTTAGCAGAGGAGTAGCAGCGGGGAGAACATGCTTAATTCATTCCTCTCCTACCATGTTTCTCTTGAGAATTTCCTACCTCAGGTCATTTCACCTCACTGCTAACTTCCAAACCCAGAAGTCAGTAAACACATCTGGAATCCTTGAGTGTGAATGTATGGGTGTGTTTGGGTGGGGTGGGAGTTGTAAAGAAATGCAGTAGGGGAGTAGTGACTGGAGAAAGATTAAGAATTCCTTCCCCATCCCCATCAAACCTGTTCAGCATTTGAAAACATATAAGTAGTATATGAGTATAGATGGCTAGGTAGATAAATACATGACCATTGTGCCCTATTTCTAAACTGACTGCATTTAATATGGTGTTGCTTGAGCCTAATATTCTAAGAAGGCTTTTCCTCTTACCACCCAAAATCATATTTTTAACTGCACTGAAATGAATCAAGATTGTTCCAAAAATTGGACAGTGAAAGTGACTTCATTCTGTGGTTAATAGTTAACCCCTAACTGTATGAGGCAATTCAAAATATGTCAACAGAGATGCCAACCCATCCTTTTTTATCCCTTCCACTTTGGTATTACAAGAGGGAATTCGTCAATTAAAGTCGGACCTTTTTTGTTGTTGTGTTTTGTTTTTTGGTGTGCTAGAGAACAAAGACCCAGCAGGCAGTAACTGTCAGGTTTGAAACACTTTCTTTGAAAGGAAAGCATTTCTGTTCAAGAACCCTCTAGTGGCATCGCAAGAATAGTGACTGGATTGTACATGTAGTAAGGACCTATACCATATTGGCTATCATCAAACATTCAGACTTCAAGGAAGGAAGCAATATAAAACATCCCAGGCCCCCAGCCCTTACACTTAAGGCCATATCATTCTTAACATGAATACCCCGCAAACATGAGAAAAATACAGAGGATTGTCAATTCCTCCCTGAACTGCTCATCCTGTGTGTGCAGAAGATTTTCTATACCATTGCTCTCCTTCCTGAGCCATTCCCTAGTGTGGCTAGAAATGTGTGCTTGAATTGCTATGCACAGGTGAGTTGCATCTTGCCATAAGTACAATTGCAGCCTTTTCTGGGCTGGCTGCCCCATTAGGCAGATTAAGGCAGCTACCTCTGAAGTGCATTTTGCTATCAAGTGAGGGCACAGAACTGTTCTTTATTACTGTTCTTGTTCTTGTCTGTGTGTGTATGTTGTTGTTGATCTGTCTGTGGATTTTTCTGTCTCAGTTGCCAAAATAACCTGGCTAATTTAAGGGTACTATACACCTAACCTTAAGGGTGGGACACACTGTCTGCTATTCCACCTTGGGCAGAAAATGTCTTGAGCCAGTATTGCTCAGATCCAGGCAAAAAATTAGCTCTGGCTTAAGGGAAGGCATTTTAGCAGAAAATAAATGGAATGTTAGCATAAGTGGTACAGATCTCATATTAACACCTGGGGTGGGAGGGAAGCAAACTGCATGATGGATTTTAAGGAAGGAAACATTATTTTTAAAAACAGAAGGAAAATGAATAGGTTATCTGAAAAGCATGGCAAAAACCTCAGATCTGGAGCTAAGTAACGTTCTGGGTCTGTTTTCCATGTTATCCAGGCTTGTAGAAAACAAAGGATCATATCTTCTCAGCTTATGCTAATTGTAAATGCCTCATTTAAAAATAAGATTCCAGCAAAATTTCTGTCATTTTTACCCACATAAATCATTGAATGTGTGTAATGAAATTAATATCAAAGTTATCTTTATGATAATGTGAACAAAGCCTTGCATTCTTGGGATGAAACCAAGAGCCTTAACATTTGGAGAGCTCGTTTAAAACTAGGAGACAAAAGCATGTTGGCTTCTTTTCATTCTTACCGGGACAATTTTTTCAAACTTCTGGATTTGTCATTCTTTGAAGCTTTCAGAGGCAGAGAACTGGAATGGGCCAGAAGAATAGTCAGAAGAGGGGGGAAGAGGGGAATTCAGGCAAATGAAGAAAGAAATGAGAAACAAAAAGTAATAAATTATTTGAAAGAAAAGATAATCAAGAACATGCATAGGATTAAACCAGAAAAGAACAAATGCAATTAAAATATGCTCCAATCTGTATTTGGAAAAGTATTTCACAGTCCAGCTACAGCTTAGTCTAGCTAGAATGTGCCCCCTTTGCTTGAGGAGTTTCTCTGAAACATATAAAAGGAAATTGATCTCTTTTTATATAAAAAATGAATACTATTACAAAATGAAGCTTTAAAGGGCTGAAAATAAATTGACTTCATTTATCTGTCATATCCAAATGTCACATAAAGAAGAGTTATTGTATACATGTGAGAACAAAGCAGGGCAAATGTTTTGCGGAGAGGCACCCATGAAAGTACTGTAGATGGAAAAGCATTTCTTTTCAGGGGCACAAAATATTATCTGGTTTTTTTCCTTCAGGAAAAAGCAAAAGTGCCTTTTCCCCTCAGGTGTACTGGGAACGCAGGATTAAATAAATAAATCATCTGCCCCCTCTTTTTATCAAACTGCAAGAACCTTTAGAAGTGCTTTTTGATTGAGCCCAGGCTTTGCATACAAAAAGCCCCAGGTTCAAACCCCAGCATCTCCAGTTAGGGCTGGGAAAGACCCCCGTGTGACACTGTGGAGAGCTGTTGCCAGTCAGTGCATGCACTACTGAACTGGATGCACCAATGAACTAACCAGTATAAGTTAGTTTCTATGTCCTATGAAAGCCCTACAAACAGCAAGACTTCATTTGAATTAGAAGAACATGAAAACAAAGCAAAACTTCAGCTCACAGGTATATTTGAAACAAATGACTCCCAGGAGAGAAAAACCTAGGAAACGTGGATACTTGTAAGGATCTAGAATATATCCTTCTATGGCTTAAGTTAAAAAGAGAGCCACAGGTAATAAAAAGCATATAGTGAAGCCCTGATGTTGTATTACTTCAGCTGTTCCCTTCTCCAATTAAATTCCAAATGCTGTGCCTTTAAACAGAATGTATTTCCAGTCTGGCTTTAGTGGCAGGATATATGAAAGTGGAATTCAGATGCCACGGCCAAAGATCTTGTGTTACCAAGTGTCACGAGCTAGACCTGCATAATGCTTTTCCGTGCAATCAGCAACAGCATTGGCATTTACTGAACGCAATGTGGACTCCATCCCTGCTTCATAACTGCTCTGACGCCTCATGTGATCCCAAAGTGTTATATTGCCTTTCATGCTGGAATTGCCAGTATAAGAAAACAGTTTCTGTAATGTCTGTGCATTCTGAATTGCTTTTAGTAGTTGGGGGGGGGGCACCCACTGACATCTGCTGACATCTGTTGGAAAGGTGTAGCATTGCATATACATGCACAGTTAAGAGTAACCAAAGCATCATGCAGTTTTCAGCCATGCTAGTATTATCTCCAAAGAAGAAGATTTCACATAGCTAAAAAGGGCAGAGGGAAATAGATCTAGGTGGTGATAAACAGAAAATTACTACACTGAGCAGATGCATCAGCCACAAGAAAAGAGGAACAGACCAAGATGGGTGAAAAGTTTACCAGTCTGGAACTGATTATACCAATGTCCTGGAAAGTGGTAGAGAAGTAAGACTGTTCTAAACTTCTTATCATTTATTCTTACATTACTATATTCTTTATCAGCTACTTGCTTGTTTGGATTGTCTGAAATGGTGGATGCCAACTTCAGCTACTTCATTGCAGCTGCACAGCCAGTTCATGCCCTGGCCGTGATTGTTTTAAACATTCATAACTTACCCAGGCTCCAAGAACATCTTACAAGAAGTCAATAATGTAACATGTGAATGTATCCTTTGAGGCACAATAGTAAAAAATTACAATGCAGTCTTAATTGAAATATTTAAAATATTCAGAGATTACAGATGAGTTAAAATGGTGTATTAATGTTACACACCAAATGCCTTCCCAAAAAAGGATGGTCTTCACCATATTCTGGAATGTGACAAGGGTTTCGCATAGAAGGGAATTCCTAGGCACAGCCACCAAAAAGGCGCTTTCCTTGCATCATCATGCTGCCTGGAGAACCATCCTCAGCACACCAATTCCAGAGTGAAGCAGGTCATGTGGGAATTCCTGTTTCTTTGGAAAATGGGTGTCCCTGCAGTCCACTAAAGAGAAGTCCTGTCTGTGCTCCCACCCACCTTGTTCCCTAACTTGTGCACAGACTCACTGATTGAGGCAGCCACTTTTACCCCCTCCCCAGGGTTGCAGGGTGGCGAGGGCAGTCCCCAAGCCCATGGGTGTCACACACCTGGGCACTGGCAGATAACAGAAAGACCTTTCCATGGGCAGAATTCTCCAGATCTTGGATCTATCCCACTGGACAGCAATACATAAGAGTTTTTCTTACTCAAGAAGTATGCACTGAGTGAACAAGTACATAATACTGCCCTGCACCATTTGAGGTTTTTATCAAGAATTATTTTAGTGAATATACAATAGAAAAGGCTATTATATGGGGCATTCATTGTGCACTCATGGCACCTAACTCAGGGAAATTTGTAGGACTTTTTCACAGCATTGTCATCCTCTAAGCCTCTCCTATGCCCTGTAACATTTTCTACTTTTTTTTTTAAAGAAAAAAGTTGAGTAAAGAAAGTCACATGTTGAATTCTAAGTGCCAACAAACTCATTCTGAAAAGGCAGGATTGTGGTTGCTTAATAGAATATAGAGAAAGGTGGAGAAATGCAAACTTGCAGGAAAAAAATGCATTTTTCTCTCATAATAAAAATGGAAGAAGAAGCCTCAGGAAAGCACTGAGTTAAACCGTTCATGTAGAGAATCCAATGGCCTGGTACAAAAACTACTGAATAAGAAATGTAACTCTATTTTCAAGTATTAAAAGATGTGGTTGCGCCCAGTTTACCTCCTTTTATTGTTTAGAGAAGCCGAGTGCACTACTGTGAGAGACGGCGTCTCAATCACCTCCTTTGCTTGAACTACGTTGTCTGGCAAAGGTTTCACTTCTTTTTCTTCAGGCTGTCCACAGACTTTATCAACCTGTAATAAGAAAAAGGGGAGGAAGAAGACCACACAGTAAGAACTAAATAGCATGTTTAACGAGAGAGTCAGAGGGCCTAAGTCAGTTGTGGTGAACTTATATTGAGTGGCGCATGGGAGTGTGTGTCAGGCTAGCACGTGGCCCTTCCACATTGTGTGTGCACATATGATTCTATGCCTATTTTCATGGTCCACGTGCAAGAACATCCTGCCAGTGCGATTCCCAATGAAACAGAACAGTGGGATCCAGCACAGCTCTACATTGACCACACCTAGTTAAAAGGCTAGAAGGTGTCTATAATCAGTTAAAATAGAAAATGAACAATGATACACCACACAGACAATTCTGACACTAGATGCCTCTGAAAGTGCCAGTTGATACATCGTGAATTATGAACTGAATGGGATTTTTTTACTACTGCATACTAATTTAACAACAGTTTTTGTTTGCTTTTTTCATTAAGGAAATGCTTAGCTTGAGACAAGTATGGAGAAAAGAGATTAAATTTCACAGGCTATCTGATCAGAAAGAATAATCCCAGTTATTTTAATCATCCTGACCTCTTGGCATAACCAGGCTCCAACAGAACCTTAGCCTAACCACAGGCAAGCCTTCTCATTTAATGTCCTTTAAGGACACAGTCCCATGCATGTTCAAAGGTCTACAGCTCACAGCATACCCCCGTCACCTGACTGGGTCCTGCTGAGAGCTGTAGGCCTGTTTCTGCCTCAACATGCACAGAATTGTGTATCAAATGGAGATATTTCAGAAGAACCCAGCAGTAACACATGCTGCTTGGAGACTTGTCTCTGCATCCATAGGGTGGCCGTGTGACCCATTTCGGAGGGCATTTGAAGGCAGTCCTGTATTTGCAGGTGTCACCCGTTTCGGACAGCTGGCAGAGGAGGGGTCCTGGAGTTAGCCCAGTGAGACTTTGCACCTACACAAGCAACAGAGCAAGCACACATGTTGCCTGGTCACAGACTTCCTCATAATAGGGAAAGCTTTTGTCATTTCCATTTAAGTCATAGTGTTTATTTCTAAATTGCATCTACACTAATTCATGAGCAGATGTAATTTTTATATGTGTCCTCTTTTGCCCTTGTTTGTACTGATGCATTAGAGCAGAGTCTATATCCCAAACTGCTGCCAAACCCTGTAAAAGTCCTGCCCTTGAGTTTTCAGAGATGAAACTTCCCAGTCACTTTTCCAACACTACCTAAATTAATGGGAGATTCTTTTCACACTTCACGCTAGTTACTTGTCAGCATTGTGATAAAATTAGCAACCTAAACAATCTTGCACAGCAGGAGTAAAAACACCTCAGCAAAAGCAAAAATTATGCTAAAAATCCTTCAGTGGTTATGTCCAGCCTATCCAGAAAGGCATAAAATATTTGTTCCTAGCCCTTATTAACTGCAACAAGCCATTGACCAGAGAAAAACTCAATTCCAATTCACCCTGGAAGGAGGGCTACATTGCTCACCTCCATTCCACAGTTGACTTCAAAGAGGCAAAGAAAATGATAACACACACACACCATTTCCCTCTTATCATCACATCTTAAAGGATCAGTCCCAAACTCAGCCTACCCTCCTCTCTTGGCCACAACAGTACTTGAACCAGCTTCATTTTCTCTCCCCAACTACAGTTGTGCCACAGAGAGGAGAGTTCTTCCCTTCAGTATTCCAAAAAGACATCTGTATTGAAATTTACCATCACGAAACCAAAGGACAATCAATTGTAATAGCTAACGCCCAGAATTTCCTCATTTTGAAGCATCCAATATAAACACAATCTTTATTTTTAAGTACAAATATTTATTTTAAGGACAAATATTTTGTGTGTTTGTATTTGGGGGGGTATTTTGGGTGGGGGATAAATAACTTTCACTTCACTTCTGAAGTGTGCATTAACTCAAGCTGCAACAGCATTAATTAGGTATATACAATTTTATTAAATCATCTGCATTTCATATAATGTCAGGCACCTTTCATTCTGTTGTCCTTTCACTGATAGGATCAGATTTCTTTCAATTCTCTGAGCTTATGTTGGCACATACCCTTGTGCAAATTTACACTTCTGAAAATGCACAAATCCTCCCAAAACAAATGTTTTCACATTTTAGTTTATGGTGGAAAATGCACATATTCAGCTTTTGAAAACCTTTTTCACAACTAAACCTGCAAAAAAATTCTGGAAGTTATTTTTTTAAAGTCTGCAAATCTACAGATTTATGCAACTCTGGAAAAACTGATCCACTAAAAAACCCATCGTTTGAATCCATTGTGGAGTTCTCTGACATCTCTTGCAATCATGCACAATAGGGTAACTATGAATTAGCACAAATTCCCCCTTCCCAGAGTAAAAGCAGGTCCACAACTCTGCAGAATCTACATCACTTAGAAAAAATCTTGTCTGCTTCAAAATTATTAGGTCAGAATCACAAATATCCAAAATAATTTGCCTGCTGCAGATTTCTTTGGCATTCCAAGCTGTGGATTGTTATCAGAAATTTGCCCAAATGGCCTCTAAGATTCCCCATTCATGGGCTAAGAAATTCCCATGGCTGGGGAGAGAAATTCCCAAACAGCGTCTCAGTGGTGGGGATTACAATTAGCAGTGACAGTGACAGCAGCGGCTGCTCTAATATTTCCTACACTGTTGTGCTGCTTTGTGTTGCTGCCCCTGCAAACGACAACAGTGTAAACTCTCCAAGCAGCATGCTTCCTTCTTGTCTCAGGCTAACCATCATCATCTGGCATTGCGGGAGGAGTGGGGGACGGCACCCGCAACATTAAAACAAAGCAAGGAATGAATAATCAGGAGAAAATTCTACAAAAAGTGTCTGTCCATCCACCTGCCTTTCTGACTGTCTGTCTCAATGGGATGTGAAAAAGAAGGTTCTCAGAAATCTCCTCAGAAATATAGTATTGAGAAATTCCAGCTCTGTTCTAGTAGCCACTATATGTCTTTTTATTTTTAAGGACAAATCTGTTTCGGACACCCAAAATACCCAACTCCCCAAACACAAACACACACACAAAATCTTGTCAATGACTGGATGACAGAAAGATGCTCAACACATCATGAAATACAGACAAAATAGAATGAATAAAATCTGTACATCCCTATCCACAACTGCTTGAATTCCATAACAGAACTTACACTGATACCTTTGTGAGAAGAGGTCGTAAATGAAATATTACATTCCTAAGAGTAGATCCCATCTTATAGCTACTTAACTTGCACAGTGCTGAAAAAAGTATTTAAAATTCTTGTAGGTGGCATTACATTTGCAAGTGGCCAACATTATTCCAGGCGTGATATATAAAAAGAATCTCAGCAATGCGTCGAAATGATACAACTATGATATAACGAAAAGATGCTAGGCAAGTGACAATCTGAACAAGGATTCAAGTAGCAATCATTCTGGACTGTCAGCTCCCACCTTGTTAGTGGTGACATTTGGCTTTGCATATTGACAATCAGAAAAGGTTATGCCTAAGGGTATAATTACCATAGTCCAGTAAATAAGGGGAATCTATTGGGAATCAATCCAATAAATCCTTTTAAAAGCTCTCAAAAATATTAGGTAACTCTTTAGAAGATAACATAAGAAGAAATCAATTTAAAAGATTTCCATTTTAATTCTATTTCCCTTTTATCAATTTGGAAATTACTTACATTAGGCTAGAAATGTGCTTGGACCTGATGCTCTCCTATACTCAGCTTAAATGAAAATGATTACCAAAGTATAACTGCAGGGTTTTTTTTAATCACTCTTTCTTTTAAAGCACATGCAAAAAATGAGAAGAGTTTTCAATATCCAATCAAAACAGAAATTGACCTAAACCTGACCTATAGAAAGTATGCATAATGCAATTTCTTAAATTTAAAAATATTTTTAAAATTACAGTTCGATCTTGTACACAGAGGAGGCACTTCTCTGTTTTGGAAAGCATTTAAGGTAGTGATTTTCTACTGTCTCATGCATGATTAATTTTATGCTGTTTTTATATAATTTTATTTTGATAATATTGGTTGTCATTGCTAATGTACTTTAATATTTTATATAAATTGTATACACATTAGAGTATTTTGAAGTGGTACTGAGAAACTTGCTGCAAAGCAAATAAAAATTTGTTGCTATTAGAGTTAGGTTGGGTTGCTAATACATCCATGTGATGGGCCAATTCACAAGATCAGCTGAGAAAGTAGCTATCAAATTGGCTCAGTTCAGTTACAACAATCTTGATCTGATACACCATGGTTTGTCACACAAGCATTGTGCCCATGCATTCATCGTCTTTACTCTCTTGCAACTAAACAAGCATTTATTTATTAGGTATATCTCACTTTTCTACTAAAAATAGTGCTCAAGGCTAATGATACAATTGTTGCTTTTACGTACTCTCAAGTCATTTTTAACTTATTGTGACCCTATAAATGAAAGCCCTCCAAAATGTCCAGTCCATGGCAGCTCAGCTCAGCTCAGCTCAGCTCTTGTAAACTCAAGGCTATGGCTTCCTTTATGAAATCAATCCATCCCATATTTGGTCTTCTCTTTCATCTTCTGCCTTCAACTTTCCCTAAAATGATTGTCTTCTCCAAGAAGTCTTGCCTTGGGAGTCTTGCCTTCTCATGACGTGAACAATAAAATACAGATAAAATTAAAACATTAAAAACAAGCCACATGGAATACAAACCATACTAGACTGGGATCAAACCTTAGTTTCAGATCATGATTTGAATATTGAGCTATTGCAACATACTTTCCCAGATCAGGTGTCATAGCAAACTGTTCCTTAACATATCATTCATTCATTTTTAGTCTGACCCATTAGCCGCACAGCTACCTGGGCAGGTTACAGACGACTGTGGTCAATTGCATCACAGAACAGAAAGGAGGAACTCTGTAGGCACAATGTTTATTCTGGCTTTAACTGTGGTGTATTAGACCAAGAGAATCCAGCATATATCTGTTACAAGATAGGTG